AACATTCTAATACAAAATGTTTCAGCTAAACCTTCCTCGATCAGTACTTGTACTAGTTAATCACTATAGTTTAATGTTAATAATAATGTTTCCTCTTTTTTTCAATAAAAATCTGACAAATTGAATAAGAGTRAACAAATTGAATTTGTTCATTTGAGTAAATATTCTATCAAGAATTTTGCAATATGTCCCCAGATTGTCTTTATAAGGGGAAAACATTGTTATCTTTGTTTTTCGCCTACACTGCAAAGGAATAACATTTTTTGCGATTAAAATGAGCAAATCTGTAATTGAAACTTCAGCTAAGAATGATAAATTTCTATTGTTTAATTTTCTAAATTTGAGAATTATGTACAATTTCAGAGACGTTAGTTTTAAAAACTGAACACTACTACTCTTTCTTTTTACTCTAGTCCAGTCAAATTAAACAAATCGGTGGAAAAAAATCCTAGAGAGTTGAATTTTTTTTAAACGCTATTTTTACACTTGGGTAGACATATGTATATCAAGTCTCCGAAGGTGGTGGGCGAGCTCGAAGAGGGGGAGGGGGTTAAAAATGTCTTTTTTTGGTTTTTTGCTCGTATCTCGGAAACTATTACTCCTATAGGTTTTTATCTTCTTATCAAAATTAAAGCTTACAAAATTTCCTACAGTCTTGTAATTTGAAAAAACTGACAGTAAATTGAATCTACTGGGTCCAATACTTTATTAAAGAAGGGGGGAGTCACTGAATATAARGGGGGTGTCTATGAATACAAACTCATCGTTTATGTAATTTATGCAGAATTTTCTGTAGAAGTCTATTTCTGCATCAAAATTTCCTACAAAAATGGTTCTATTTATTTTTGTTGTAGGACCAACCGTAGACTTCTCAAGTTTGGAGTCTACATAAAATTGCATTAAAAATCCTTTGAAATACATTTCATTAGTTTATGGTAAGTATTTATATGTGAAGAGCGTTCCCCATCTAAGCTGGTCTGCYTGAAAGGTGACTCGAATGTAAACATTTAAACGGAGATATAAATAAAAATTTTGGAAGAAAGAGAGAATCAATCTCTAAGGGGGTTAAATGGAGGTAAACGTTTAAACAAAGTATAAACATAAAATTCCTTAGAGGTGTAAAGGGGCACTAAAATCAGATTATTTTTCGAAAATTAGTTTTTAAGGAAATGAAACAATGAACACATTTAAAGGGATATAAAAGCATAAAATTTGAAAATATGATCCTTAAAGAGTGTAGAAGTGCACTTTTTAAATTTTTGGCGAAATAATGTAGAGTGTTAAACGCTTAAAAACTAAATTAGAAACATAAAATTTAGAATTTTGAGAGTGCAAAAGTGTACTAAGAGAACACTTTATGAAAATGAACATTTAACATTTATCCATAAACATAGCCCATGCGAAGAACAAGACTACTATAAAAAAAGACATCTATAACCCCCTCCCCTTCCTCGAGCTCGGCCCCCACCCTTAGGAACTTTTGATATATGTCTACCCAAGTGTAAAGAAAAAAAAATCCAACTCTCTAGGATTTTTTTCTACTGATCGCCCTATTTTTGTCTAATTTGACTGGGCTACCCTTTAAAATTTGAATTCTATTATTTCATTTTTGTAACTGAATAGTTTGCAACTTACAACAAGTCACAAACATTGTAGAACTTTAGAAATGTTTCAAAGTCTAAAATTAAACGTTTTTAAAATCTAAGAAAGTCAATATAGAATTTATTTAATTCTGTTTGCATTTTTTCTGATTAGCTTTCGTATAAATTTCAACGGATTCTTGTTTGTAACTTATGTAAAAGAATACCATCGCTTTTCGTTTTACGTTTAAAACCAAGAAAATTTTTGGCTTCAAAGTAAGTAAAACAATTATTAAAAAAAGAATAATATCTTATTAGCAGACAGCACAGAAAAAGTATTATTATAAATTAATTACATAGAAGACTAAAATAAACTCTGGTGCATAACTATAGCACCACCTAAATTTTTTGAAATTTTATTATTTTTAAAATAATTATCTAAAGAATATTAATTTCAAAAAATAGGATATGATTAAATATTTATTGTACCAGAATATAATGACATTTAAACCTTTAATTTTGAATTAATTCCAAAAAAACATTTTTTTCCGTAGTGCTATAGTTATAGCACCACATAAAACTCAAATCGAAGAAAATCAATTATGAAATTCATATTCAATATTTGTGTCTCCATTACCTTATGACGTTTCTGACATTGTGTATTAATTCATTATTGTCAAAATGCCTTGCGGTAATTACCTTACTGAACTTGAAAAAGATAACATTTTGGCTCTAAGAGAAGAAGATGTCGGAATTCGAGCCATTGCTTGTAAAATTAGTCGGTCCCATAAGGTCGTGATAACTTTCCTGCGAGATCCGGAGCATTATGGACAAAATAAGAAGGAAAGGCCCAAAAAGAAAATTTCTCCACGTTCTGCACGTCGGATTGTCAATTTAGCGAGTAATTCTTTAAAAAGTCTCTCTTGGTATTTCTATATACCTAACTATTATTATATTCAAATCAAATAAAATTTATTAGAATAATAAAAAAATGTCTAGGTA